GACGTATTCAAGTCGCTAGCTGTATCATGATGTCTAGAGAACAATTTGTGAAAGAGACAGCGCTACACAGTCATGTGAGACAACATTTATAATTCCCACAACGATTACCTTCACCTGAGATTTGACAGGGATGTTACGAATGCAGGAAGTATCGTTATCGATAGGTTATTATTATGTTATTATTGGAGACTACAAATTCACCAGAAAATTTGCTTCGTGTGTGAATTCTTGGATTAACAATATTTTATTGATTGTAACACTAACACACACTGAGCATATTATATGTTCAAGAAATACCAAAAATAGATAGTTTATAATTTGAATACTGAAATTAAATGAAAAAAACTTAAACAAATTCTATTAATGGATTGATGCACCAACTTATGGTTGATAAGTATGTATAAAATGAAGGTAAATTATTTCAATCACGTGTAAGAATCAGATATATCGACAAAAAACTATCGACGCTTCGCTCATCACTACTAAGAATGCACCTTGACAGCACTAAGGGAAATGGTTTTTTTTAATCACATCAATCTTCACAATATATCATCCCTTTATTTACTCGTCGCTACATATTCGCGCAGCCGGCTTTGTCTGCTTTGCGATAGATTTTAGAGCAAGGGGGTCTTAGAGCCGGTGTATTTTCTAAAGAAATAATCACCACTGATGCACATTGCATGCTATGGCACAATAAATGATCGTTACAGAACAACTGCTTCATTACGTGTATGGGAACCATTTTAGAAGTATTTTAGGTACCTCGTAGAATGCTATCTTAGTGAATATTATTATAATTAATCCGATTTAAATCCTATATTTTGGTTGGCAAACGATAAGTTTTATGATAATTGCCTGTAAAAGAACTTTACATATTGTGTTTGAAATCTTTGCAAATAAAAATCAAAATGGCCGCTCAGAATTTTTTTCACCTGTCTTAGACAATATCACATAATTTCTAAACACTTCGTTTGGTTTGAAATATATACCCATAAATCAAAGATAAATAGTTAATACAATACGTAAAAGGCGTGTCGTTCTTTTCAAATTGTTCTTCTCTGTCCAGGGGGTAGGCAGGCATTGTGATGAAAATCGCGACGCGGAGATGCGGATGGTAGTAACTAAATGTATTTTATTTTTGACCTGCTTTTGTGCGTTGACCCAGAGGCAGGTTGTATTGTGTGGTCACCTTGCGTGGACAGGGGTTACTAGGTTGCAAGTGCTCCATTAAGGTCGGGATTTCGGTAAAAACAGGTTTTTGGTGCACGTGGACATTGTAAAGAGAACGCATGTCAAATGTCTTTTGATTTTGAATGAATGAAGTTTTGTTTGACAAATCTCGGAACAAGAGATTTTAATATAGGTGTTTTTAGAATTAGAATAAAATAAATAACTAGCTATGGAAAATAAACGTATAAAGAAAAATGTGTAGTAATAAACCATTAAGTTATGACCAACGTTCAAGAAAAAACTCTGCAGACGGCACAAACGCTGTACTCAAAGCACCAAAGTAATTATTACTTGCTTCGAAAAAAAAACTCTACTGAAACAGTACATTTTTGTTAAAACAACAATTCTTCTAACAAACAGCCGAGCTTCCATTGTTTCTTTAAATTTTTCATTCTAAACAAACCAGGTTTAGTTCGTATTGTTAAATCAAAACATTCTCCACAGTTTGGTCAAGTCCATTGTTCGAGATTCAGAGCTTTTCACAAAACTTTAGACTTTGTTCAAAAGTCATCTTAGAGTAACACGATTAGCTGTAATCGGTTTTAACCAAGGAGATTGGAATTTGAACGTAGTTTTTATTTGATATCGCCGTTTGATTACTAGGGTGATTTTATCTTCGCCATAAGACAACCGGGGGACAGATGGCCTATTCTCAATTTTGACTGGTGACGCATCCGGGTTTAGCTGTGCTCATTCTGCAATTTAATATCTTCGATCATAAAGATAGATAAAAATGGAAATATTAGCTTCTTCTATTACTTATCGAGTTGTAGATGTTATTAAGTGGGTTGATAAATTTTCAATTTTTCGACACAGAGTACATGCCTACAATAGCAAATAGATATGTGTCTTGCCTCGATAACTCAAAATGTTAGGATGAAATAAAGGTAAACATAAACTAATACAAAATAAACAATACAAGTCCTCAGTGTTTATAAATAAACTAAAAATACAAATAAAGTTTCCTTCGCACGATCCGGACACATAGCGAGACAAAAATGTGGCCCTATTTACGTGCCCAACATTTTAAGCCTGTGCCCATAAATACAAGCAATGTGCATAATTCCAACATAAAATTGGAACTAATAACTAATGTGCAAGACACAGTCACGCGCACGGGTTTGCTCACAAAATTCAACAGAAATCGTATTCATATCGTAGTCCGTGCAACGTGCATTTGGCGCCTATGAGATACGTAGCTTTTTTTTCAATAATTATGAAGCTTAAATTCCTCAAGTATACTCATACGAAATTAAACTTTATTCAACTAACTACAAAATCAAAAATCCCATCAACATTTTCGGGTTCTGGATGAAATCTAAGTTAATCGTTTTACAAGAAAGGGCTTTCCTAATCTCATCGTTAATGTTTCAAGTTTAGGGTTGAAGTTGCCGTGGTTTCGTGGTGTCCTTGTACCAGGATAATAATAATGCATTTTTTTGTGATCCAAGATGTCCGTGTGCGATGCACCGATTTGTGTGTTAGTGTGCGTCTTGTCTAGCAGCTGTGCCTATTATTTTGGCGTTGTGTGCGAGACTTGAATAGTGCAACTTGGTGAATTTGATACGTTGCACTTGGGTTCAGTGCATTATTGTTCGTTTCTATGGCAAATCTAGGTTTATTCACTAATACAAATTTTCAATATGCAAATATTGTATTACTAGTTCACATTGAACTGTTAAGGAATACAAGAAAATATTTAAATCGGCATTGTAAACTGTAACCGATATCTGATAAAGCAGTCCTGTCATTTTATGTCCGACGTCTCTAGCGGCGTTTCCTATAATACGACGTGGAAAAATTGACGCTACGACAAAACGCAAAACATTCAAGGCTGATTATGTTGTACACGTTTGCGTGACAGGTTGACATTCGACTTAAAAAGTATAGTTTATGGGATCCGACGAGTTAGGGCCAAATGTGTTTATATTCTGTTTTCTAATTATGCAAAGCGATGGTAATGACTCTGTCAAGTCACGATTAAGGTATATTTGACTTTTTTCAGAAAACTTTTTTCCGCATTAATGTTTATGGATGTAGCGAACTTGTTAATTTTTAAGCGAACTGGGTCAGACTTCACACTGCATTCATAAATTATGCCGGCAAGAAGTCACGCATAGTCTTACGCTATAATCGCATTTATAAATCATTATTCAAGTTAATTTTGCATACTGCAGTTTTCAACTATCAAAACTTTTTGAGCGCACAACAAAAATAGAAAGAAACTTTTTTTTGCATCGTTGGCAAAGCCATTCCCAAGAACATGTGGACCGCTACGTTGCTAGATCAAATACACCATCCTGCCGACATTGTAGTTCCTTTATCAATACTTTCCTAAAAAAAAAACTCTGTAAAGCATCTGTCTCGTTCAAATCTGTTATTTAAAATGCATGAGTGTGAAAAGGACGGGTATAGAGGAACATCTTCAAACATAATTGCTTTCAAAATGAATAGATGTTAGACAATAGTCTTAAGAAAGAATGACAAAACGTCCCGCGAAGTCTCTTCTGACGGTACAATTGCCAATTTGAGCTTAACACTTAATTTATTTTTAGACAATACACTTCTTAAAATTGTTAGGCATATTTATTATTCGACGTATTTTGTGATTAGTGTGACGAAGACAGTTTTTGAGTAGTTATAAAACAAAAATTTATAATTATTTAAAGTCTATTTATATTATGAAACACTTTTGAGGACTTAGTGTAAAGATAACTTAGTGTAAAGGTACTAGATGAACCTGAACTTCATTTTCAGTCAGTTAAAAATACCTAGCACACATTTTAGTTTGTCAGTCACTGGCGTGATTACCTATTTACAAATCAACATAGGACCGATCTGAAAATAGAACTAAACTACGGACATTACCATCGAAACATTGCGAATACCATCGACAGTCGAAATAATCCAACGATAATACAATACAGCTTACATACGAATCACATAGTTACCAAATACAGTAGCTAATAAAGAACACGGTATACCTCTATAGCGCGCTTTCGTTCCGTGTTTGACCTTGAAACATGGTGATACTTCAAAATATTATAAACAATACTCAGCCAACAAATTTCATAAACACAATAAAATGCCTTCCCCTATATACTTAATCACGAAAGCTAAATTAATTCAAACTGTTTGATTTGACCTTGAGTTACCTGTGAACTGCAGTTAACCCGACTTTGGTGTGTTGAACCTTTCAGTTTGTTATCTTTGTTGTTAGTTAATTTAAGATTCAGTGGGTTATTGTGCAGGTTAATATTGTAAGTTATTGTTTAAAGACATGCCGAATGCTGAACGAATTATTAGTGGAATATTCTGTGGAACTGGTATGCTGATTAAGAGTTTTACGTTTCAAAAGTGCCTTTTTAGGGTTTAATTGAAATAAATGATTGGATTTTGTCCTTTAGCTTACATATTTAAATCTAAGGCGAATACATTTGTTTCTTTGTTTTTGTCAGTGTAGAGATTTCGACCAAAAACCCTTAAATGCAGCGTGCTTGATGCTATAACTTATCTTTAAGTTTTCGAGTACACTTTTGTACAGGGCAGAGATCTGCGAGATCTGCGCTTGATACTTGTATCGAACTAAAATACAGATGATCTTTGCTTTGACACAATACATTGACGCCTGTGCCCTTGAATACGTAATTAGGTAATGATTTGCGTTGGAGTCGCTGATTACATTAAAATTTATTGAGTATAAAATGAAAGACATGTGAACTGTAAGGGTGTGTTTAATAATCTGTTCCTTATTGTTACAGTAAAGGAAAATGAAGTGTGCAAAGCTTCACTTACAGCAAAGGGTTAAAGGGAAGCTCAAAAGGGATGATACCTCCACTCCAGAGAAACCTAGACGATACTGTCAGAGAAAATTGGTGAACCCAAACCACGAAGAAGATCCTAGGTGGATAGACATCTTTGATAGGTATTTCTTAAACATGTAAACCATGTAAAAAAAGTCTTAAATTTTTCGAAATTAATGTTTGCTTACGGTTTATTATCCAATGACCACTGGTTGTATTTTGTATACATATTTCTATGAAGATTCGTGGCTATGATGTAAGTTCTTAAACTTAAGAGGTTTTTTGATTCAGTATCGATTAATAATGTTTTGTCGTAGATTCCACGTGAATACGAAAAATGAGGAATATAGTGATGTGGTCGACAGCGTACGAGTTCCCCAAGAAAATGAGGATATGGTTCTAACTGTACAAACCTTAAAGTTTCAAGGTGACGTGGATCAAACCACACGACCCAGAACCAGTTTCAAATACAAAAAGAACACAGACGTAAACAAACACAGAATGTTTGTCAAACAACCTGTTAGCGAAAATGACTTCAGTGATGATGATGATAGGTCATCGCAGCTCACTTACTATTACTTCGATGAGTATTTAAAATACATATACAGCACTGATAGATCAAGGCCCGCCTCCAGCATTTCTAGTACGTTCCTAAAAGGCTTCAACAAGGACAAACAGATACAAAATAAAGCAACACAAGTGGAAACATCCTTGAACGACACGAAAAAACCCCGAAGAGTTGAATCTAAAATTAAAAATAACGTAAAGAAATATTCTAAAAGACAAGTAACAGACGAAATTAAAGACGTCGCCGAAACTATAGAAAATACGAAAATTACTTATCAAAAAAGTGGGAAAAGGAAAAGTCTGACGATATCTCGCGCTCAAAGTCCCGAGACAGTTCAAGTAATTAGAGTTGATGTTGTTTGTAATTATACAAACAGTGCTACATCAGACTATGAAGATCATAAAAAAATTGACTCCCCAACAGAAAGGTTGGAATCAATTAAAGAAAATGATAATATTATTAAGAAAAAATATTTCTCAAATAAGTACAGTAATCATTTTGCGACAAAGTATCTTTTGACGAACACAATAAAGTCTCTAGATGAGAATCTGTCGGGTGGAGCTAAGGTGACACTTCTCTGTAAGACATTTAAGTTATCAGATCGCCTCATACCCGAGAAGCCAGAGAGAGAAAGAAAGTTTCCCAAAGCAACTAAAGGAAAAAAGAGTTATAAATTGAAAAGTAACAAAATTAAGCATCATAACATAATTTATTAGGGAAAAGTAACTACGTGATGTTCCAACTTCATTACGTACTACTTCAGTAAATTAATCTACCTTATTTATTATAAGCTGTAATTTTTATTAATTTGTACATCTTTCTGAAACTTCAAGTTAACACTTTACTTAAAGTATGAAATATAAATAGGTATCATCTAATATGATAAGCCCTTTAAATAAAATTATCTACTTCTTCACTTGTTTGTATCTATAAACCAATTTTTTATCTCAATCCGAACTGTAACATTTCGCCAATCAGCGACCGTAACGCCATCTAGTCCGCCTTGCGAGAACCATCCGAAAACGACAAGGATGTTTAGAAGTGATTTAAGTTATAATATTTTAAAATGATTAATAAATATATAGTTATAGTATAAAATATTAATAATCTTAAATTTATCACAAAATTACTCTAATAGTATAAGAATTTCGAAAAGCTTAAATAAATACTTGATGTGTTTTAATAAAGCTGCGTTATCTTATCAGCTGAAGACTTTGTTTGTTGATTCGAACGAAGTTATCGCGGAGGCGCCCTGTTGAATATGCCGTACGATTTAAATAACTAGCTATTTTTAAATGCATTAAAAAAATCTTTATAAAATTCATTTTCGCCTTAATATGTGTGTAGGTAAATTAGGTACCTAATTTGAAATCAAATATGCATAAAGGAGTATTTAAAAAGATCATGTTAAATTGGCCTATAGTTTCGATATTTGCTTTATAATAGGGTAAATTGTTTGGACAATAGATAGTAAAACTTCTTTTATATAGTTACGTCAGTGGCGTCCTGGTGTCGTTGAATACCTGCGCGTAAACCTGTCGGCATTCTGGCGCCACCCTTGCAGGGTCCAGTGATTGTTAAAGATTTCTTTTTTTTTACTTCTGACTGTAATCCATAATTGTTATTGGTAACATTTCAATGTTTTTTTGGCCAGTTACATAGTATATATGGTTTCAAGCAGTGCTCTGCAATCATAACTCTGCGAAAGACAAAATACGTAAAGGGTTCGCGATAGACTTATTGCGGCAATATTATTTAATTAAATTATTTTTTTATTTCATTATTTCTATACCATATTATATAAAGTCTAAAATAAAGACCTTGAAATGTTAAGTTATAGAAATGTCAACTTTAGGTTACTTTTATTAATATGATAGGTAAGTACTTACTAGTTTCAACTTTTTTACCTACTCATATTTTGGTATTTTTTTTTGAAAAATGTTTGGCGGTACCTACATGCTACAGCTACCCCCGAATATCTATTCATCTACTACCTTAGTTGTAAAAGGTAATACTTATAGCTCCCAGATTCGTTCCGCTGCAGAACCAAAGCCCACCCTAAAGAGCCAGTAGACCACCAGTTAGGAGCAAATGCAAAAGCATGATGCCAAAAAAAAAACTTTGAAAATCGCTGGCATATGCGCAAAAAAATTCAAATGTATAGTTTTCACGATCCAGTGATTTAGTGATACGATGCGCATGATTAAAAAAAGAGTCGTTTAATCTATAACGATGGGCCAACTTAGAAAAAAAAACAACAAAACGTTGTGTAATCAATCTTCTAAGGTTTTTGCGGAAAAAATGACAGATAATTAACGTAATGCTTATAAATTAGAGGACATCGAGTTTCGTGAATTAACTTTGATTTTAACTAATTATTATTATTATAAATTCTATTCAGTGAGTTTTCAAAACTCGCGGCATTTTACGAATGCGTTTTGGTGATCAAATCTCAAATTTACTAAGTGACCTGCATCATGGATGGAAAAAAGGGGCAGCCCGCTATGGTAAAAAGAGTAAAAGCCTCATTGTACTATTGGTTACATTACTATGAAGAATAATAATCTATTATCACAGAATTAGGTCGTCTGTGTATATTTGAATAATAGGTCATCAGTTATGTTTTTAATAAAATTAATAAAATTTTATAATCTTATTAATTACAGTAATAACAATTACTTAACTTCTTGTACTTCCTTACATTAAAAAAGTTTATATGTACTTTTACAAAATAATAAACTAATTCGTTTTTGATATTTTGTATGGTTCCGTCTCAATCATTGGTTAAATTTAATTTTCTCCGTGTTGAATGTTCATCAAGTTAGAAAAAACAGACTTGGAAAAGTATAAGTCCGTGTCAGACACCGTTCGGACGGACTTTGCGCCAAAACTGTAACTTAATTACTGGCGCAAACTTGCGTGATGATCGCTTTGAATTAAGATTGTACTGCCAGCGCCATCTAGAAGTGGGTGGGGGAAACTTGCCTGGTTTGTAACCGCGAGCGGTGCAGTTTTACTTTGAGCGTAAGAATTTTGATTAACGGCCAGTCTTAGTAGCCTGGACAGCGCAAACATTATCATTATCCTAGATTTTATTTGCTTCTTCACTACAGAAACATAAAATATTAATTATGGAACTTAAAAACAACTTCAATAGAATAAAATAATTTATAGAAAAAAGTAAATTGTTTTTTAGATATCGTAATTTGGTTCGTTTGTTGAAATAAAACAGTGATGTGTGAAGGTTACTTAATGTTTTGTTAATTTACCTAGTGCTAAAATTTTTATTAAAACCAAATAAACGGAAATTTACTTTTAAGACCAGTTCGGCCGTCGCGTAGGCATCAAATTGATTAACGACTTATTGACTAATTAGAGTATCGTTTTATATTTCTTATTATTAAGTGTGGGCGAGCCATGCTTCGGCACGAATGGGTCGGCTCGACCGGAGTTATACCACGGGCTCACAGAAAACCGGCGTGAAGCAACCACAGTGTTGTGTTTCGCCGTGTGAGTGAGGTTACCGGAGGCCCAATCCTTCCCCTTCCCAATCCCTCCCCAGTTCCTAAATCTCCAAATCCCTAATCCCCAAAAGGTCGGCAACGCACTTGTAACTCCTCCGTTACGGGTGTCCATGGGCGGCGCTGATTGCTTACCATCAGGTAATGCGCGGGCCGTTTGCCGACCTACTACATAAAAAAAATAACTACTAGTCTACAAATCATTACCACCGTCCACTGCTGAATAAAGGTTTCTTCTCACACGAAGAAGGTTTGAGCATCTATCAACAAGCTTGTTCGAGACGGGTTAGCAATTTAAAAAATATTATTAGAATGGAAGGTTTCCTTACGATGTTTTCCTTCACCGTATGTCAATCGTGTCTGAATAATCTTCGACATTGAAGAAGGGGAGCATTTTTAGTAACTAAGAGTCTGACTGAGTTCAAAAGCTGGCAAGTGCCAACCTTTATTAGTAGAGTTATTGTATACTTTCTAAGAGATTACTTTATTTTGACACCACTGACATACGGTGAACGAAAACATAGTAAGGAAACCTGGATTAATATTTCTTTTTTACGGAACATGTTGCAAACAGATCACCTAATGGTAAGTGGTCAGCGCTGCCTATGGACACCCGCAACACCAGAGGAGTCATTATTTTTTTATTTATTAAGTTTGGAATGACCAATTAATTCGTCTTGGGTATCATACACAACCATCACCTTTATAATACTCAATCCCTTTCCGTGTCAGATAAGGTCTCTTTTTGATATGACGGCTCACCAGCATGTAGACGTGACGTCAACGCCCTTTTTTTTTGTGAGGGGAAAATCATCAAATGTCTTCTCCCGCCCAGGGCCGAGGGAGGGAGTGTCAGACTCTTACTGACTAAAAACCCCCCTGTTCCTTCTCCTGCTCTGGCCCGAGGTCGCGGTGCCACATTGCGCTTACCCCGCAACCCCGGCACGTCAAACGCCCATGGACATTCGCGACACCAGAGGAGTTACTAGAGCGTCTCCCGCCTTTTTGGAATTAGAATAAATCCGAGATTTAGGGATTGGGGGAGAGGAAATGCATGGGCCCCTGGTAACCTAACTCACACGGCAAAATTATGTTCAGCAGTGATGACTTATATGTGATGGTGATGAAGAGGTGCTTAAACAAACATTAAATATAAATATATCATGTTGGCATTTGTCAATTTTCAACCCGACACCCTCTTGCGTGAGAATCACCGCGCCTTAACCTCCGGGCTACCACGACATAAGTCTACAAATAAATGATTCAATTCTATTTTCTATTATTTATTTTTAGTTTACGATGAGACACGCAAGCAGCCGATGAGTTTTATATAAGGCGACATTCGCGTCAGGCGTTTGCAACTGACAGTGAGTGAAACGATATCTTATGTAACACTGAGATAAAAATCTTAGGTACATTCATTAAAATTATTATAGCTACTTATATAGCTTATATAGCTACTTATATTAATTTGAGTCTGTTAGGCCATAGCACATTTCAGCCGGGTTTGTGTTCAGCCGGGGTTGCGGGTTAAGCGCAATGAGTCACCGCAGCCTCGGCCCAGAGCAGGAGAAGGAACGGAGGGGTTTTTAGTCAGTAAGAGACTGACACTCTCTCTCGCCTTACCCAGGGCGGGAGAAGTCGTTTGTTGATTTTCTCCTGACAAAAAAGACCATAGTACCTTCTATATATTGTAATAAAATAATTACGATATTACAATAGTCAATTTGACTGCAATAGCGTTCAAATATGTATAGCTGGACTCTTTAGTCTTTGGACGTCGACTTTGACAGAACTCAAGTAAAAAGTTGTTCTTAGTCAGAAACGACATCAACTCTTTATCTATACGAATACCTATTATAAAGGGGTGAAATTAGTAAGTTTGTATGTAGGGGATAATCTTTGGAAGCGCTAGTCAGATTTCCAAAAATCATTTGCTGATAGATAGCTACAATGTTCCTGCCTGCTTTCGGCTATAAAACATCACGTTACGATCAAATAGAGACGATGCAACCGTGAGATAAGGTAGTACAATATGTGTATTGTGTATACCAAGACATACTAATGTTACTAATAAGTGTGGGAGAGATAAACTTCGGCGAGAATGGGTCGGCTCGACCGGAGTGATACCACGGCCTCACGGAAAACTAGCGTGAAGCTACAGCGTTGTGTTTCGCCGTATTAGTGAGACAAGC